TTCTGACCTACTAAGTAATGTGCCAGACTTCAGGTAGAACTAAGCTTACCTAGCTGCAATGAGGCCCAAAAATTATTACATACTGTACATATAATTAAGCAATGATTGCAATTTACCTGTAAAATATGCAGCCCTAAGATTTAGAAAAAATGAGGATGGCAATAAATTGCGGACCTTAAAGTGGTGCAAAAGGAAGAAAAACTATTTTCTCAATGAGAACCAAACATTCTGAATGCTACATTACTGTTTTAGAGACAAAAGTCTTAGCTGCCTGAGAGTTATCCATGAAATTTTTATGCAGGTCATTGACATTTTCCGAATAGTGTTACAATTCACCAAACCCATAAAAAGTGGTTGGAAAAAAATTAAAAGCAAGATCCAACAAGTCTGAGCAATATCCCTTCATAAATAAAAAAAGGTTGGTTTAATGACATGGACGCAAAATACTATTGGAAACTTACTGAAATATAGAACTATATAGAATTACTGATTAAAAACTAATATAAAACTAAGTACTAAAATAAACACTAAAAATTATATATTGTAGTTTATACATTTTTACAAACATTTTTGCAAAAAAAAATGTTCATAAAAATGTATAAACAGAAAAAATTTCTGCTGTTCAAAGGATTTAAATCTTTAGGTCCAAAACTCTCACTTCAAAGGTCCATCAACCAAAATCTCTCGTCATTCAGCAAAGTCTCATTTTTTTTGCTGTATCTGTCCCTGCAGGCTCTGAAAACTTTCATTTGTATGGTTTTTTTCCCCACACTTTAATTCTTTAGAGCTCTTTACTGTCTACATGTTATCCTGACTCATATGAACTACAATTTTTCTAGTCTTCTGTCAACTGCTTCCCTGCTTTTTAACTATTCTTTTTGTTTCTAGTAACTCCTAACTTAATAGTAGTTGCATGCAGCTTTGTTGGGAGTGAATCAGAATTAAATATATTTATCCGGCTTGGACAAGAATGGCGTGTGATCAACCGCTATTGATGACCACACAAATGATTTTATTTTTTGACAGCTTGACCACAACTGTTTAGATGTTTAAATTATTTTTAAACATTTTAGAAATGAGCTGAAAAAAGAAACGCTAAGCGAAACTTTAACTAGATAGAAAATTTAAAAAAATTATAATGAAAAAGAAAACAATTACTTACGAAAAAGAAATTATATAAGCACTGTAATAAAACTCTAAAAACATAAACTCAAAGCAAAAATTACTTTTTGTTACATATTTTATTGTGTTTAAAATAAATTACTTGAAAAATATCTTTTGAAACGTTTTATTAAACTTATGCAAAATACTTTTACAAGAATTAAACAAATTACTTTTAATGATTGTTTAATGAATGAACAAAAAATGAAAGAATGAAAAAAAATATTTTATTTAAATTACTAAAAAGTGTTATATATATTATTTTTAAATTGTACAAACATTTATTTTTCCCAAAAAGTTATAAAAAAAAAAAAAAAAGAATTGTTTAAAAAAATACCGTAGTCTATTTAAAATAGTAATTTTTAATCATTTCATGCTCTGATTAGTTAGTCAAGTTAAAATAAAAGTTTTAAACAATTCTTTGTAAAAATAGAAACAAAAAAAAATAATGCAATTAAAACATTTGCAATGGAAAATTTAATTCAACTTTTTCATAAAATAATAAAACTTAAAAAATTATCTATAATTACATTTTTATTATATTATATATATATATATATATATATATATATATATATATATATATATATATATATATATATATATATATATATATATATATATATATATATATATATATATATATATATATATATATATATATATGTATATATATATATATATATATATATATATATATATATATATATATATATATATATATATATATATATATATATATATATATATATATATATATATATAGACCTACCTTTGTTAACGATGCTGTTGAAGATTTTCAAAAAGTCCCTAGAGTCTAACTTCTGAGATAAGATACAAGATTTAGTGAACTGATAATAAAGAGTCCCAAACTGCTTTAGGGTAGTAGTAAGTAATACGATGATATGTTGAGTCCGAAATTGAAGTACGAGATAAGAGATTTAAAGAAATCATTGCATGGTCAGAACCACCTAAAAGAGGCAAAGGAGAAACTAAACAAAAGCTACAATCAGACCCCAGACATAAATCAAGGAGTGAAGGAAAATGATCAGGGTTGTCAAGAAAAAAAGTCAAAAAGTTAACTATCTGATTAAGAGATTGAGAAATGTAAAAGTTATAGGCTTTAGTGCCAGCAGGGTCAGTGGCGTTAAAGTCGAGCCATTTAGTGTGATGAAGTTATTGACATTAAAGTCAATAACTAGAGCATTAATTCTCCAGTTATTGATGATCATGCAAAGAGCATGGTCAATTTGATTTTTATATCTAAAAGTTATATCTAAAAGAAATTATATCTAAAAGAGTGCAGTCTTGGGTAGAAAGAGAATGATAAAGAACAAAGGGAAAGGTGATAGAGTGAAGAGGTGCTAAGCTGAAGCACATAAAGGATTCCTTTATATGCTGAAGCATATAAAGGAATAGGCAAAGGATTCGAACCTAATTTCACGACAAATAGGTGAATTGATGTGTATGTATACCCCTAAGTCAAGCATGTGACTATTGGAGTCTTTGAAAATTAACAGTCTTTACAAATTAAAGGATAGTACCCATCAACAATAAGATCAGAAGAAGGAATAGCAGAATTTAAATTAATCACACTAAAAGCAAGCAGTCGGGTAAATTTAGCCAGAGGTAAGATTCAACTGATGGAAGGTTGCTTCGCAGACCAGGAATATTAGTAAAAGATATATTAAAACAGTTAGGTGATGGGGATGGTTTTTTATGTTTAATATTTTGATTTACTTTTGACATAACTTAAGTTTAAAGAAAACTTGTTTTATTCATAGATAGAAGACAGCCTCCCAAATAATGAGCTATGCATTTTTCTCAGTCCTGTTAGTTAACCCTAAGTCATAACATAAGGCTCCTATTGTCTGCAAAATATTAGAGTATTATTGCACATGGGACACTACCCATGTGCAATAATATTCTAATATTTTGCAGCTGTTGATGGAATCAGCCTCTCTGAAAGCTACTACACAGTTTGGGAAACCTTACTATTAGCCAGCCTCAGAACTAGAGGTGTATCGGATATTTTTGCTGGATATTGAACTTTTCTAAAGTTCTATAAATGTTTATGAAAAAAAAAACAAGTCTTGCCAGTCTACAATAAATAGTATTCAAGATCTTACTTTAAAAAATCAAGAAAAAAATGTATGACATGGGATATGTGCTGATGAATTATAGAAAATAGTAATTGAAAAAAATAAAAATTTGGCTGTAAAAACGATTTTCCCTTATACATTATTATCGCATATACCTGTTTTATACCAGTTTTTTCTTGATTTTTTTTTTTTTAAATCTTGAACACTATTTAATGTAGAATGGCAAGACTTGTTTTGTCTTCCTAAACACTTATAGAACTTTAGAAAAGTTCAATATACAGCATATCCGGCAAAATTATCCGGTACACCTCTACTCATAACCATTAAACTGAGTTTTAGAACTGTACCCTAATTAGGCAATGACAGATATCACGAGATAACACTATCAAGGAGGCACAAGCAAAAACCTATGAGAAAAGTCAAGAAGATCCAGCATTTATTATTATTCTGCTTACCTCTAAATTTGCTAGGAGGAGAGTAGCTGGATGCAGTTAACATCTGCCCAAGAGTATTTTTATTGAGACACCGTCTCAAGCCTTTACTCAACCAAGAGCCTAAAGACAGTAGATTTTTAAGTAGGAATTAGTTTCTCCTAGCCTTTGCCTAAAAAACCACACTTTACAAGGCAGAAAGGCATGGGGCAGGTAGTACTGGGTTACATAATACCAGTAGCAAGGTTATCATGATGATCCTGAACCTGACCTGGAGTAATTAAAAAGAGCTACTTCCTGCAAACAACACAAAAGATTGGGCATATTTTGGAAATGCATTAAGAAAAATGTTACACCCAACAAAATACTAGAGATAAGGGTAAGTGTAGGTTTAATAGTTGGAGTATCTAGTTAGATAATGAGCTCACACTCATCAAAACAGATTTAAACATTTGAACAGAACATTTAAACAGAACACATATATACATAAAGTAACTTATGAGTGAGTAAACACTGCGCCAGAACACAAACATACATATAAACATAAACAAAGACAAAACACAAACATACATATAAACATAAACAGACAGAACACTATCACAGATTAACTTTTTAACATGCAAAATAACACATGAATGGAACTTTTTTTTTTTTTCAAATGTCATAGAAAAAAAAAAACATTAAATAAAATTAAGAATGCATCTGTTCCTTTCTTTTAATTTTTAACTATTCAAATCTAAAAAGGAAATCTCAGTATATCTATTGTGTGCAATTTTCACTATAAAATATATTAAAAGACATAAAGTATGTAAATACGTTACTTAAACAATATAACCAATTTCATTCTTTGAAAAAGCATTAAATTTATTAAGTATTTAGGTTGAAATTAAAAAACTCTCATTTTTCTCATTTTTTTAAAAAAAAATTATTAAGAAATCCTAATAAGAAATCATAAAACTGACATATTTGTAACCTCCGTAATTTAAGCTTTGTCACTAGTTATTATGTCTGCAAGTTAATGGTTTTGTCTACTTTGTTATTTATAACTTAATATTTTTGATAATTTAAGATAATTGATTAAATGAACTTCAGCACAACAACTTCTTTAGCATTCTAACAAAAAGTTTACTTACAAAACTCATTGTAAACTTTCATTACAGTTTGGTTAAAAATTTTTTTTTTTTTTTTATTGCTAGAACAAAATAATTTGAGCATATTTTCTTTAAAAGATTTTTTTGTTCCTTGAAACAAAAAATTATTTTTGCACTCAGTAACTCCTTTAAACTTCAAATAAAAAATTATTTACCTTGGGCAAATATGGATTCCAATCAATAAAACCAACATTTGATTGAGTCAACCTTGCAAATAAATTCATATAACTCTAGACAAAATAAAAATCTGTTTAAAACAATTTTAACCTACATACAATATATTTTTATACTATAAAATATAAAAATATATTATAAAATTTTGATTTTATCTAACATTTGAATTCTAATTTAAAAAAGACATTCATAGTTAAATCTAAAGATATCTGAAGTCTCATAATATCTTAATAAAAGTCTCATAAATGTCTAAACTATTGATTAGAAAACTTTATAAGATATACCTCTGCAACATTAGCATGATTATGGGTACAATGAAACCAATACTCTAAGAACTCTGTAAACCATAATCTAAAGAAGAAATTTTAAAATCACTAATTCATATATATCAAAACAGTAGGTTGATTTTATCGAAATCTTGATATATGTATCAAAACAATAGCTCAATAGCTAGCATATGTTAGCTCTAAACTCCTATAGCTGCCATACTAACTTTCAAGTTTAAAATTGTGAAATATTGTGAATAATTTCAATGTTAAGTTTTTTACCTGTTTAAAAAACAGGTTGGATTTAGAAATATTTCAATGTAATGTTATAAATACTATACTTGGTTATTCAAGGAGAACTTGGGATAAGTGCTTCAGGTATATGGCCCACCATCTTGTGTTTTTGTTTTTTTTATTAAGTTATTGAAACATTTTTGAGAAAAAGTTACTTCAAAATCAGCTGTTTTAGAGTATTTTTTTTGTTGGCCAACCAACTTTTTTTTAATAGTGATTTTGAATTATATTTTAAAAATACATTTAAATGTTAAAATTTACAACTTTAATGTAATCTTTATGTTACATTAATGTAATCATATGGTATTTTCTATGCAATTTAAGTAATTTCATTCATATTGCATCATAAAATACTCAGTGTGGTGACATTTAAAAAATGATCACAAATTTTGTACTGGTCAGCTTAACCATCATAAAATGTGTTTTTTTTGTGTTAAGGGATAATAAGACAGTTCTTTTCATTATGTAATTAAAAAAAAAATTTGTAAAACAATATCTTTATGTTTAATATTGTCAATTATAAAACATAAAGATATTGTTTTACTTTCTGTAGCACCCTGATCCTATTTATAATGTATAAATAACAACACAACTAAGTGTGCATTTTTGTTGATTCCAATGGTAACTTGGTAACTTGGATTTTGTCTTGTATGATAAATTTAAAACAAAATTACCAAAAACAATAACTTCACTTGGAGACACTGATAACTTTGAATTATTCATAATATAAATCTAGGATGTCATGGTATCAAGCTTTAAACTATGTCTTTTTATGTACTCTACACCTACTGTAGATGTGTAAATTAAAAGCACTGCTCGATCTGTCATACGCTATTATTTGTAATTAATTGTTTGATCTTCATCAACACAATTGTTCTCTTTATTTTTAAATAAATTTTTTTTACATAATAGACAAATTTTGAAAACCAGAGTAACTATTATCTCAATCAACCATAAATTTACTTGACTCTCTACTACAAATAATATTTTCAAAAAGCTCATGAATTTTTTTTTTCAGGTTTAACCACAATAAGCTTTAGATTCCGGTATATTGATGCATAGATTCCGGTATATTGATGCATGGCTCATGGGTATACAGATGCATAGGTTTATGGGTATACAGATGCATAGGTTCATGGGTATACAGATGCATAGGTTCATGGGTATACAGATGCATGGGTTCCTTTTTATCCAGTATTTAACAAACTTGAAAAATCCGATTTTTATTTAAGGAATTTGAATTCAACAGATAGTTCCCTTAGATTGCAAAGTAACTAATGTAATCTTTTTGATACATGTTAATGTTCGGATTTAAAAACACTTAAAAAATAGTCTTTATCAGGCAATTAATAAACTCACCTTTGCAACAAAAACTTTCACTTGCTGTAATAATAAATTTAATTTAATTCTGACAAATTTTTTTTTTAGAAGTTTTAATTTTTGCTGTAATAATAAATTTAATAAAATTATTTGCTGTAATAATAAATTTAATTCAATTCTGACAAATTTTTTTTTTAGAAGTTTTAATTTTTTTAAAAACCATATAATTTGTTATTATACATTTTTTTTTTGTATGCAAAATTATTTTAAGTTTGTTTTATTTTGCAGTTGATTTTAATTACATGTTTTGATTAAGTAAGCAATAATTGCTTAGCATTTTTGTTAACTAGTATTTAATAAATAATTATTTATTATGAATTAACTTAGATTTAAATTAGATTATAAATTATTAAACTTATTCTCCTTTAATTTCATTTTCATTTTTTGTTAAGACTATCACAGCTCATGTTAAGACTATCACTGCTCATGTTAAGACTGTCACTGCTCATGTTAAGACTATCACTGCTCGTGTTAAGACTATCACTGCTCATGTTAAGACTATCACTGCTCATGCTAAGACTATCACTGCTCATGTTAAGACTATCACTGCTCATGTGTGAGCAGTGATAGTCTTACACCTTTAAATTTTCTAAAAAATTTAATAAGTTTCTAAATACAAATATATTAAATTTCATTTTCTTTTTTCTGTGCTACTTTTTTATATAAATTTATTGTACTAAATTTTTTATAAAAATAAAAACATAACACCTGAATCCTTTATTATGATGTTCATAAGGCAGCCAAGTTGGAAGAAAGCAGGAGAAATAAAATGCAGCATCTCTTTTAGTAGCATCAAACACACACATAAGAGGACGCCATTCTAGCAACATTTCCACAGTAGATTCAACTGAGAAATAACTAAAATAAATAAATAAATAATGTAGATATAAGTTATAAATGTTTCATTATTATTCAAATTTCTTTACACAGGAATTTCACACTTGTTACATAGTACAAAATATAAGTTTGTCCTGTCCTGGAAGTTCTGCAAGAATGTATGAATAACCAATGGTGAAGACATGGTCTATTAGTCGTATCCATGATGATTGTAAATTTATGAAAAGAGTAAATGTGGAGTAAAAAATAAAAGAAAAACCAACAAAAATATATAAAAGATAAGAAAAATTATCCTGCAGAAAATCTAGCAAAACATTTTAAAATTTTAAATGTATGATTTTTAATTTGAAACTTTGTAGTCTATTCAAGTTTGTAGCACATAAGAGAGACTGTTGTAAAGTTTATCTCCTCCAAAATAAAGAAGAATAAAGAGAAACTGAACACAAACTAAGGTAAAAGGCAAAACATAAATCAAGCCATTGGTGATTAAGGTAAGTGATCAAGGTTGTCTGAAAAAAATGTTACAAAATTAACTATCAGATTAAGCAACTAAGAAAAGACAAAAAATTTTAGCTAAAGTGCCAGCAGGGTCAGTTTTACTAGACCCAAGTCATTAAGTATGATGATCAAATGTTGTTAAAACAACAATATTAGCTGATTAATACAAAAAAAGAATTTGACTAATTTGATCAGCCCTTTTTTATAAATAAAAATAACATTAAAATTTTATTTGCCTTCTTCTTGAGAAGTAGGAGCACAATCTTAAAAAATTGCTGATTCAACGTCACTTAAAGTAGTTTTTATTAGTTACTAGATTTTCTGAATTTAGTTTTCTGAATTTAAAAGAGCATGTTCTCAAAATGCATACGGTCATCAGAAAAAAAACCAGTCAAAACTTTTTACCTTTTTAGAATTTAATCATGATTTATTAGTTTAGAAATATTACATAAAGAATCATATTAAGATAAATAATCCTCATTAAGATAATATTATAATTGAAGTAAGTATAAAAAAAAATAGTTTAGCAATTTAGATAAAACATTTTTATTAAACATAAAGTAGAAAGAACCACTCCTTTTAATTTTTTAAATCGTTTACATTTTGTCTGTTTTAGCTTTTCTTTTACCTTTATTTTTTTTAGCAGTTTTGTTTTTTTTTAACTTATATTTTATTTATATTTTTAGAAGGAAAATAGGGTCATGGATAAGGCCTAATTATTTTTATGCACTTTTTTTGCAACAAAAAAGTTGTACTAATGCTATTCCCATAAAATTGATTATTATTACTTTGTAATGCTATTAATTATTTTTGTTCTTTTTTAGAAAATTAAAAAAAAATAATTTAAAATTTTGAGCCAACACTGACATGTTAATGTATGTTAAGGTTAAATTTTGTTGTGAGGATTACAGTTTTTATGAAAAAAATATAAAGAGTATTGTTTGTATTTTTATACTTAGTTTACTTTAAATCTTTTTAAATTTTCTCAAGGCATTTTAAATTTTTTTGTTTGCACAATTCAAGTTATATATGTTTATTGTTTGCATATATGCTTTTTTAATAAATATGTGTATGTGATAATATATGCTTTATAACTGTATTATGAATGTGTTTTAATAATAGCATAAAAAAGTTTTTTTATTGTTTGTGTATGTGGTAATATGAGTTATATAACTGTTTTATAAATGTCTTTAAATATATAACATATTTAAAGACATTTATAAAACAATTATATAACTTATATAAGATTAAACATATATTGTATATATAGTTGGTATATATGTTTATATTATATTGTTTCCATATTTTCAAAGAACTGTGACTAGGCAAGCGTGTAGAGCAAAACTTTTCAACCTTACCAGCCAATCAATATACTTATAGCAGAGATGTGACTTGGCAGTGTTTAGTGTCAAACTGTCTTACTGCTTTAGGTCAAGGTATTTTCCAGCCTTTGTTATTAATTATTCTGGGAATACATGTCTTTTAATAACATCTTGCATAATGTTATTATTTATGTTTCGCTATATATGAATGTTATTTTACCTGAGTTATGTTATATACATGTTATATTATCTTATAGTATGTACTATTGTTGTGTGTTTTTGCAGTGACATTTTTTTTTTTGTAATGTTTTATGTTGATAGACATTTGGCTTACCTTTACGTCGGTGTCTATTGTTAAAAATGATAAATAGGTACTCACTGCTTTTAATGATTCACTAAAAGGTACACACCAAGACAAACTATTTTGCCATACGTATATTATGGCATATTTGTTTTTATCTCAATTTGACTTTTTGTCTTTAGCACTGTTCATTACATGGTTTTACTATAAATATTTTAGAACCATCATGTTCCAGCATAAATTATTTTAGTAAGAAAAATGATGCCATTTTTTAAATATTTAGTTCACTTGATCTACTAGGTTTTCAATTTAATATATTTAAAACCTTTATTTTTAAAAGTTTTTAAACCTTTTCAATTTGCTCAAAATGATTGTAAATTGGAACGCCATTTTGCAAATTAAAGCCATTAAAGTCTCAAAACCATAGTCATGAAATAGTTTCTTTTATTCTTCAACCCTTTATTACATTAATAAAATTTTGCAGACTTATAACAACTAACTGCCACTGACTTAAGGGCCCATTAGAAAAAAGATAAAAAAAATATGTCCATGCCCCCCCCCCCACTTTTTGAGCCACCATGGCTAGTGATTTCGCCGGTTATTCGGTTTTGCGGTTAACCGGATTTTGTTCGAATATCAAATATTTATTTTCGAATAATAAAAACCGACTTAAAAATATTACGAAATTTTATAGAAAGTAACATCGTAATTATGACGATTATTGTTTGACAAATGTTAATTTATCAAAGATTATAATATATTTCTTTTATTAATTTAAATGTTAATTTAATCAGTTTTGTTTGATAATATTTTTTTTTTTAATTTTTTTTTTGTTATTCACCTCCTCAAGGCCAAGAAGGTCACTACAGACGAGGAGGCTACTTAATAGTGGTTATAACCCTCTCTCAACTCTAACTCCGAAACACGAACCTTGACGAACAAGGCCGCTGCGCGGAGAAACAAGTTGAGCGCGGTTCTACCATGGACGTGGTGGGGATCGAACTCCGAACCTCTCGCTTATGAAGCGAGTGTTTTACCACTACACCACTACCGCATATATTCTTAAAACAATTTACAATAGAAATCTCAAAGATTTATTTATTACTTTTACAACTCAAGCAATACATTTTTAAAAAAGTTTCTTCAGAATATTCTGGAACTCTAATTTGCTTATTCAGCGTATTTTTTGAACCAATAGAATTTGTTTATTCGTATATTTGGCGGTATTTTAGTGTTAGCAAATATTCTTTATATTATCTTTAAGCAACATGTTGTTTTGAGAACATTCAAGTTTATCTATGTTTCCATCTATGTCCGCATAACAATAAGTTTTTAAAATACACGCTAAAAAAATTTACTTCATAACATCTCATTTTTCCAAATCAAATGTTTTTATATGAAAGAATGATTTTAAAATATCCGCTGATATTAAAACATTTAAACTATACTTGTACATTATTCCTACCTTTTTTAATTATATAATTAAAAAGGGATATTATAATATAAAAAATATATATATCTTTTTCCATGTTTTGTTATAAATATATAATATAGGACTGTATTCACTAACTGTCTTGAAAATGTACACTTTAACATTAATTTTTAAAAAATTAGTTGAAAACGCTACGTTCGTTGAAATTTAGAAGATCCTGTATTCAGAAAACGCCACTAATTAACCGAATAGTCAGTTAACCGCAAATTGATGAGAACTGTTATCCGGTTTTTAAAATGGATAACCGGCGAAATCACTAACCATGGCCCCCATCGCCAATGTGTAATTTTATTTGTAGAATAACTATTTATTTTTTTGAGTATTTATTTTTTATTCTTAGCCGATTTTGGAAGCTTAAGTTAAATGTTGCTAACTGAGTCGGATTCTAGCAGTAGGAAAAACAAATGATGTATTTAAAAATAATTACCTAAAGACGTTGTTAAGCCTATATTAATTATAAAAATAATTACCTGAAGACGTTGGAATGTTTTAATTCAAGAAATTTCTTAAAAGCAGAGCTATTACTAGGCCCAGACAGAGCCATTACTAGAGCCCTCACAGCTCCCTTAATCCGGTAAGGGGAGAGGGGGAAGGCAGCAAAATTAGGGACCTTTTTCAAATTTTAGAGGGCCCTTTACTATACTTGAGAGCCTTTTTTTTTTTAGTAATACCTTATAATCAAAGGTTTTTAAAATTTTGGGGCCTGGGAGGGAGTGCTCTGCCTCCTATGCTATTGCACTGATTAAAATAAGATGTTTCGAAGGAAAATTTTCTTTTTATTTCTATGATAAAAAAGTTTTAACATTTAATTTTTTCAAAACATTTTTTTATTATAGAAAGAAATATAAAATCAGAGATTGTAATCTAAATAAGTTTTTCCACTCTTATTTGTCAAGTTTCACATTTCTAAAAAAAACCCGCATAAATTTCAAAATCAACCAATGAAAATTATAATAGTATCAATGCTTTCGTATATTTGTAAACACTTTAGAAGTTAGTAGATCATCAAAGCTACATACATAAATATCAACTACATCAAAGCTTGATGTAGTTGATATTTAATGTACTTTATTTAACTTATTTATATTTACTTAAATTTTTGCCATATAACATTAAGCATTTGAATCCTGTATTTGCTTTTTCTTTTCCTGTATTTGTATTTACTTTGCAATGTAAATACATAATACAGTGGTTAATCTAACTATATTAATGGCTGTTTTATAAAAGTATTACTGTATACATGTAAGTTATGAGAGTCTTAATGACATTGTCATAGTTAATTTTTGAGATCCATAATAACTGAGTTGACAATTTTTTAAGAAACTAAAAACTTAAAGACCAGAATTTTTTACAGAATTTTCAATTCGCTATCACTTAATTTGCCCCTTGCTTAGTGTCCTAGAAAAAC